TCTGCTTTGTTTTTAAATGCTTTTAGAATGTCAAAGGGGTGGGGTGTCTGGGTGTCTCAGTCAGTTAAGCATCTGACTTCAGCTCAGGTCATGATCTCGCAGTTGGTGAGTTCGAGCCCTGTGTCAGGCTCTCTGCTGACAGCTCAGAGCCTGGAGCCTGCTTCAGATTCTGTGTCTCCCTCTCTCTCTGCCCCTCCCCTGCTTGCACTCTGTTTGTCTCTCTCTTTCTCAAAGATTAAAAAAAAATGTTAAATGCATATGTTTAAGAAGACAAAAAATCTTCCTCTGTTTGAAATAAGTTACAGTTGTTTTTACTTCCTTTTTTTTTTTTTTTTTTTTTTAGTTTAAGTTTATTTATTTTGAGAGAGCGCAAGAGCACAAGTATGTCAGCGCAGAGCCCAGCTCGGGGCTCAAACTTGCAAACAATGAGATATGACCTGAGCTGAAATCAAGAGCCAGACGCTTAACGAACAGCCACCTAGGCACCCCTGCTTTTATCTCTGAAAGACCAGAGTATGAGCCAATTCTAGGAGCCTGGATCAATAAAGGAAGGGGACAAAGGCCAAGTGGGGTGGCAATCCTTCCTTAAGAGCATTGCTCTTGCTGCCTGGCCTCAGAAACTCTGCTTTCATCAGGTGTTTCTTGTCACCTGCTGGGGCTTCAGCAGCAGCCTTCCCTTCTGCCATGGTCCCTCCTCTGGCCATCTTCCTCCCTGGCACCAGCCTTCCTGAGAAACAAATGCTAGTCACAAAGGGCCAGCCAGCACATACTGTTCAATCCTACCCTAAGTTCAAGCTACTTCTCCTTTAACTAAGATGAAGGAATGGAGGCAACAAAAGGTAAAAATCATGATAATGATGCTTGATCTGAAGCCAACTTGGAGAAACAGCAGGAAAGCAGATATCTAGATTCACACAGTGCCTGCGATATAAACCAAATTCTCTCAATCTGGATTTCCCTGTCATTCCAGGCCAGTATCTCCAAGGTCATAATAAAGGAGTAAAGGAATTTTCCTAAAATATAGAAAGCTAAACAATTCCTTAGGACTTTGCAAATAGCTTTTCTGTAGTCAGTCTGCTTTTGCAGCAGAGAGTCTGAAGTTGCTGGCAGTATCTTTGGCTTTGCAACTGACCCTGGAGCAGAGGCAACAGAAAAACAAGGTCACACTGATAAGTAAAAGCTTACAAGATCACAGCCGCCTTTAGTGGCTTCTTGATGCTCATAAGATAAACTCTAAGCTCTTGACCATTATGCAAAGGCCCTCAATATATCCCAATCCTACCATTCCAGCCATGTGATCTTTCCAGGGAACATCATCCATACTTCTATTTCAGTGCCTTTGAACTTGGCTTTTGGTTCTGCTTGGAATGCCTTCTCTAAGCCTTGCATACCCTCAGAACTTATCCCTGACCTTCAAGATTCACCTCAAATGTTACTTCTTCTCAGAAAAAGAAACCACTTAGTCACTTCAACAGCTCTTACTTTGTTGAATTAGAATGACTAGATTTGCTTCCACATGTTTTACTGTTCCCAAGACTAAGCTCCTTGAAGGAGGCACCAAGTCTTTTTTATCATAGCTTCTTCAGTCTTTATCACTGGCATAATGCCTGATATACAGTAGGCAAACATATCACAGATATTTATGGAATTAATAATTCTTTAGGTAAAACTGAAGCTTAGCTTATTATAATGTTCTTTTGAAATTTAAGCTTTGTTACATTTCTATTTGTATTGTTAATCTAAAGATTTATAACTTGTCATATTTTAATGAAAAGGGAAGAGATAACTATAGCTGACCAATAGATATTTATTGATTTGACTTGAATATTCAAAGGACCAGTAAAGTATAACTTAATATTCAACCTACCTGTTGCAAAAAAAAAAAAAAAAAGAAAAAAGGAAATATTGTTCTGGAGTTGAGACCACAATCCAAGGATGCATGCAACCACCAGAAGCTCAAAGAAAGTAACTGATTCTTCCCTACAGTCTCCAGAGGAAGACTCCTCCGGAGTTGGAGGGCCTCCTCCAGGGCCTCCAGAGGTGTGGCCCTGTCCACACCTTGATTTTGGCTCACTGATACTGATTTCAGACTTCTTGCCTCCAGAACTGTGACAGCATAAATTTTTGTTGTTTTAGGCTACCTACGTCTAGCAGTCTGTGGCAGTAGCCACGGGAAAACTAATACAAGAGGTGTTAGGATGTCGGGCCAATCATGAAGGAGGAAGACCCAATAACTCACTATAACTGTGTTAGCTTCTCCTGAATACATTGAACATGGATAGACATAGAAGCTGGATCTAAATTCTTTATTCCCTTTTGAGAAAGGTGGAGCTTCTTGTCATCTAATTCACAATACAAAATAGATTTGGATTGAAAGGTCTATTAGGAACCTGAGTTTTATGTGAATAAAACTAGATGTTGTGGGTTTTTTTTTTTTTTTGATACAGAAGGAATGAAAATAAGGATCCATCTTAGACCATTAAATTAGATAAGACCCCATCCATGAGTCACATGATTTTGTAATGGACCACATATTTTAACCCATTAATAAAATTAGGTAAGTATTTGGAAGAAAAGCCATTCTTAAAATATTACCTAAATTTCCAGGCATATATTTCACATGATAAAGAGAGTAGTTTCAGAGAAGGGAAAAATAGAGGACAATTTAGATGAGCATATCTTTGGATGTTTTGGGGCATAATGGGCAAATGATTCTCTTCTTGGTGCTATTCATCAATTGTGAGCTCTGAAATAGAACCAGTGAACTGTTGTTCTATTTTTTAAAAATCAACAAACTCTCTTCCCTCCAAAAAAAACCCCAAACAGCTCCCCACCCCCCAAATGTTTAGTTCCTAGTATTCTGGGAGCTTTTTATTAGTACTCTAGATGCATAAGATATCATCCAGTTATTTTAAGCAAAATTGAATAGCAAAACTTTTCCTCCTCCCTTCAAACGTGCATTCATTGGGTAAGTCTGGCCCTGAGATAATCTACCCGAAATCTTGGCATCAGAGATGATTTCACCTTAATCCTCCCACAATAATGTGCTCCCAAGTGGCAGTGAGGACATTCTAACTTTCTGCTAAAATATTTCCTGATGACTTTAAAAAAAAATTCCACTTGTAAAAATTGGGTTATTTGAGGTTCTATGATAGAGTTACATAAGTATTTTACATATTCTGAGAACAATCCCATTATCAGAAGTATGTTTCTCTGTCTGTGGTTTGCCTGTATATTTTCTTTCTTTTTCTGCTTTTTTTTAAAGTTTATTTTTATTTATTTTGAGAGAGAGATAGAGAGCAAGCAGGGAGGGGAGGGACAGAGAGAGAGGGAGACACAATCCTAAGCAGGCTCCACACTGTCAGCACAGAGCCTGATACGGGGTTCGAACTCACCAACCGTGAGACCATGACCCAAGCCGAAATCAAGAGTCAGACACTTAACTGACTGAATCATCCAGGTGGTTCAGTATATTTTCTTAATGATATCTTTTGATGAGAAGACTTTAATTGTGATGAAGTATAATTTGCCAAATTTTAAATCATGTTGCTTTCTTTACTGTCTAAGCACCTTTGCTTTCTATCATGTCACAAATTATTCTTATATTTTCTTCTAGAAGCTTTTAAGTTTAGTATTTACATTTATATTTATGATTCACCTCAGATTACTTTTGTGTGTGATGTGAGGAAGGATCCACGTTTATTTTTTCCTCCCAGGTGACTGTCCATTTATTCTAGCACTGTATGTTGAAAATCGACTCTTTCCCCCCATTAGTGTTTTGGCACCTTCGCCAAAATCAATTGACAATAAAAATGTTCTGTTCCGCTGTTGTATTTATCCTCTCCCCGACACCAACCTGCCTTGATTTGTGTAGATTTACAGTAAGTCTTGAAATCAAGTAGTGTGATTCTTTTTTAAAATTGTGGTGACTATTCAAAATTGTTTTTCCGTATAAATTTTAGAATCAGCTTGTAGATTAAAAAAAAAAAAAGCCTGCTGGTATTTTGATTGAGACTGCATTTAATCTACATATCATTTTGGAGGAAAATGACATCTGAAAAATAGCGAGTCTTCCAATCATTGAATACTATATTTCTCTTTATATTAGTGTTTTAAATTTTTCTCTAAGCAATATTTTGTAGCTGTTGGTGTGGAGGTCTCATACATATTTTAATTTATTCCTCTGTATCTTATTTTTGTGATATGTAAATGGCATTTTATTAAAATTATTTTATAATTGCTTGATCCTTTTTTTTTAAGATTTTATTTTTTTTAAGTAATCTCTACACCCAACGTGGGGCTTGAACTCACAACTCTGAGATCAAGAGTCACATGCCCTATTGACTGAGCCAGCCAGGTATCCCCAATGCTTTTAATGTATACAAATTTTTTTTGGTATGTTGATTGACCTTGTATTCTGTGGTCTTGCTATATTAAATTATTCGTCTTAATAGTCCATTTGTACATTCCTGAGAACTTTTTATATATTGCTAGATTTGATTTGCTAGCATTTTGTTGAGGATGCTCACATCCATGTTAAAAAGGAATGCTGGTCAGTAATTTCTGTGTCATGCTTTGCTTTTAGGCTACAGTTGCCTCATAAAATGATTTGGAAAGTGGCATCTTCTCTTTCACTTTCTGCAAGAGCTGTACAACATTGGTGTTACTCAAAGTTCAAGAGAATTGAAAGTTCAATATAATTTACCACTGTAATAATCTAGTCCTGGAGTATTCTTTGTGGGAAGTTTTAATTTCTTTAGTCAGGCTTATTAAGATGCAACTTACATATTATTCTTAATAAACAGTTCCCTGAATTTTAACAAATGCTTATAGTTTTGTAACCATCATCACAATCAAGATTTAGAACATCTCCCTCACTTCCTCAAATTCCCTCAAGCCCTTTTGGAGTCCCTGTAACCACTCATCTGCTTTGTTTGTAGTTTTCCTTTTTACTGACTGTCATAAAAGTAGAATCATCCAGTATGGGATCTTTCACTTACCATAATGTGTTTGACATTCGTCAATATTATTTCATGTATCAGCTGTTCACTTTCCCTTTTTTTGGGGGGGTGAAGTAATGGTCCATTTTAATGGGTGTGCCACAATTTTTCTACCCATGTCCCAGGTGACAGATAACCTTGCTTGCTTCCTGTCTGGGGAAATTATTAACAAAGCTGGTATAAATATCTACATACAGGTCTTCATATGGACATAGGTTTTCATTTCTTTTGAGCAAATATAGGAATGGTATTTCTGGTTCATATGGTAAATGCCTGTTTAACTTTATAAGAAATTGCCAAACTTTGTACAAAATGACATAACATTTTGCATTCCCACCAGCAGTGCGTAAGAATTCTAGCTATTTCAAATCCTCACTAGCACTTGGTATTGCCAGTTTTTGAAACTTTCTATTTTAGGTATTGTAGTTATCATTTGCATTTACTCCATGACTATGTTGAGCATCTTTTCTTTCTTTAATTTTTATTTTTTATTTTATGTATTTTTTTTAGAGACGGGGGACAGGCAGAGGGAGAGAGAGAGACTCTTAGGCAAGCTCCACACCCAGTGCAAAGCCTGACATGGAGCTAGATCCCACAAATCTTGAGATTATGACCTGAGCCAAAATCAAGAGTTGGACAATTAACCGAATGAGCCACCCAGGTGCCCCATCTTTTCATGTGCTTACTTTGCGATCCATATATCTTCTCTGTGAGGTCTACTTACGTATTTTGCTAATTTTACAAGACCAATGCTCTGACCCCTGAGCGATGCAGTCTTGTATTTTGTTAATTATAAATTGGTTTATTTTCTTATTGCTATACTTCGAGAGTTCCTTATATATTTTGGATGCGAGTTGTTTATCAGGTATGTGTTTGTTTTCTTCGCACTTGTGAATTATCTTCTCATTTTCTTAACGTGATATTTTGAAGAACAGAAGTTGTTATTTTTGGTGAAGTCCAATTTATCAAGTTTTTATTTATGCTTTGGGCTTTTAAAATATTTTTAAATTTCTATTTTAACTTCTCCACTAGCACCTTAGCTGTACCTATTTGGATTATTATTTTAGTGGTTGCTTTTGGGATTATAATGTATAATCTTACACATATGGATAGCCACAGATAATAATCCATTAGAATTAGCTAGGGTAATTGATAAAAGAAAAACTGTTTTCAATTATTTCTATTTTTTTAAAACTAAATTTATTTTTTTAAGTTTTTATTTAAATCCCACTTAATAAACAGTGTTGTATGTTTCAGGTGTACAATATAGTGATTCATCACTTCCATACAGCACTCAGTGATCATCACAAGGCCACTCCTTAATCCCCAGCACCTATTTCACCATCTCCCCACCCAATTCTCCTCTGGTAACTGTCAGTTTTTTTCCAGTTAAGAGTCTGTTTTGTGGTTTGCCTCTTGCGCTCTCTTTTTCCCTTTTGCTCGTTTGTTTTGTTTCTTAAATTCCACATGAGCAAAAAGACAGTATTTGCCTTTCTCTGGCTGACTTACTTCACATAGCATAATGCACTCTAGCTCCAAACATGTTGCAAATGGCAAGATTTCATTTTCTCATGGCTGAGTAATATTCCATTGTGTATATATACCTAAATAAATTACTCAGAAATAAATTTAAAAAATAACTTCTGAGTTTTTCTAAATATATTAATCTACTAGTGAATATAATATTTAGACCATAATTATTTTTATTATATTAAACGCCAACATATACAAAGGTAAAGAGAATAGAATAATGCAAACCCATGTTACTTATCACTCAGCTTCAACACTTATCAACACATAGGCAATTTGTTATGAACATAATTGTTTTTTATTAAATTAGGTTTTTGAGGTATCTTGGGTCATTGTTACTATTGTTTATTAAAAAACATTGAGCAGGGGTGCCTGGGTGGCTCAGCCGGTTAAGCGACCGACTTTGGCTCAGGTCATGATCTCACAGTCTGTAAATTCGAGCCCCACATCAGGCTCTGTGCTGACAGCGCAGAGCCTGGAGCCTGCTTCAGATTCTGTGTCTCCCTCTCTCTCTGCCCCTCCCCCACTCATGCTCTGTCTCTCTTTGTCTCATAAATAAACATTAAAAAAAACTTAAAAAAATATCGAGCAAATTTCCACGATGTGAAATATGCATTGCTAAGTGTGGGAATACAAAGAGGTGGCATATGGAACGAGATAAAATTCCTGTCTTCTAGGATCAGACAATCTACTTGGAGAAATACTATGGTGTGGTAGAAAGGGTTTCAGAACCAAATTTAACATGCTCAAAACTGAGCTCTGCCATTCCCTGGCAAATTATCTCATCACTCTGCACCTCAGTTTCCTCATTCGTTTAGTAATCTTACTTTGCAGCTGTCATAAAAATTAGAAACGATACATATAAAGTTGGGAGCACAGCACCTGACATGTAGACATGTCAAATAAATGTCACTATCAAGAGCTGCACAGAAAAAGCACACAACACCTAATGTGATGACACTCACAGGGTATGGAACTATGACAGTAAGAGCTGGAAGTAGGGACAAGTAGATTAGTTCTGACTGTAGTAGTTGATGATTTTTGTGAAGAAAAATTTGACAACAGAGTTGTGGGAAGGTATAAAATTTTTTTAGTGTTTATTTTTGAGAGAGAGCACGAGCAGGGGAGGGGCAGAGAGAGAGGGAGACACAGAATCCGAAGCAGGCTCCAGGCTCTGTAGCATAGAGTCTGACATGGCGCTTGAACTCATGAATTGCAAAATCATGACCTGAGCCAAAGTCTGGCACTTAACTGACTGAGCCACCCAGGGGCCCCGTGGGAAGTAAGTTCTTAAGCAAAAGCAGAAAAGTAGCAAAAGGCAGCAGATACTTAAAGAAGATACAGTAGCCCACTTTGCTTGTGTGACAGATCCTACTTGTTGCTTCCTTTTATCCCTTTTGCTACGGACTGAATTGTGTTCCCCCGAAATTGATATGTTGAATCCCTAATCTCCAATATGCCAGCACATTGATTTTGGACTTTCCAGCCTCCATAACTGTTGTTTTAGGCACCCAGTCTGTGGTATTCAGTCATCGTAGCCAAACAGACTAACACATCTTTCTTCTTAGACGTATTTGTTTGGGGAGGCAACATAGCCAACTTAAAACTTGTTTCCAGTCTCCCTTGTATTCCTTAGTGGCCATGTGATATCATTCTGGCCAGTGAGCTGTAGACAGAAGTCTCTGAGGTGGAAAAGGGATGAGAGAGAGAGAATCTTTTGTAAATAAAAGCAGAGCTCCTTTTGTTCTTTTCCCCTCCTTCCTCTTCAAATGGAAATATCATGTAGCCACCATTTTGTCAAGAAAGCCACACATTAAGGATGGAGAACTAATGGGCTACAAGGAGCTTTAGCTCTTGATGACTTCAGGGAGACTTATCCTCAACTTTCTACTTGAAGCAACTGTTTGTCAGATTTTCTGTTTCTTGCAAACTAATCCTAACTCAAACAGTTTGTGTGGGGAGGAGATGGGTGTCTGGAAAATGGCAGAAGGACTGGAAATGTAGATTGGCCAAGTGGCCAAAAGAAGGAGTTTGTACTGTAGCTTAAAGAACATAGCAGGAAGAATAAAAGGTTTTTACACAAGAGTGATAATACTAATTTGCTGTTTAATAAAAGATGAATGGTAAAATAACATGCAGGTTAGAAGTAAAGTGTGTGAGACAAGGAGAGAGATCATTTATGAACCTGGTGTAAAATGTGGAATGCTGGTAATGACAGTCGGAATGACAGTGGGAGCCACAAAGGAGTGTACCAATATAAGGGTGACCCTAAAGTGGTGGATTGATTAGGGCTTAGTAACTGATTGCACGTGGTAAGCAATGGAGAAATTATTGCACATAGTAAACAAGAAATCAAAATAAGTGGGTTTTCAATTTGTGTAAATTGGGAAGATTTAACAGAAATTTGGAAACTAAAGAGTTGCTAATTAGGGAGGGAAAGAAGTTGTAAGGCTAAATTTCAACAGTGAGTTGAAACGGATTTGTTTAGTTTAGAGAAGCTAGAGATTGGAGAACTAGGAAGAAATCACTGATCATTTCTCTAGCACCCACTAGGTGTCAGGTACATTTGCCTATTATCTCACTTAGTCCTCATGCCAGGTTTGTAAAATATTACTAGCCATAATTTAGGGATGAATATTTAGTCTCAGGAGGGCTAAATATACTGCCATTGACTCAGAGTTACTTAGATATGGAGTTGAGGGGAAAGTGTCTGATTTGGTGAATCATCCATCAAAAAAATAATGTCAGACTCACAGAGTTAGAGGAAATCTCTAAGGAAAAGTATAGGAAGAGTAACAAAGAAGGCTGGGGAAGGCACTTGGGTGGCTCAAACAGTTCAGTGTCCGATTCTTGGTTTTGGCTTAGGTCATGATCTTAACAGGTGTGAGATTGAGCCCAGAATCAGGTTCCACAGTGGGCACGGAGCCTGCTTGGGATTCTCTCTCTCCCTCTCTCTCTGACCCCTCCCCTTCACTTGTGCTCTCTTTCTCTCAAAATAAATCAGTAAACTTAAAAAAAGAAAAAAAGGTTGGGGTAAGATCATTGGAAACTTTTGTCTCCAAGGCAAGAGGAATCACTAGTAAGGTCAGGAAAGATTCTGAGTAGGAAGTGAGGATTAATACACATTGCACATCTTCAGTGGAAAGAACTCTATTTCTTAGATAGACAATCTGCTTTGAATTCTATGATGGGTAAATGGTTTCCTCTGATACTAGATCCTTTCCTGTAATGTGGGGATAATCATCTTCCCTCTAAGGGAATGAAATGAGAAGCTAAATGTGAATGTGTCTGGCATGGATTATGGTACAACAGGTACTCAATGAGTATCTGCTAAAAGGATAAATTATAGGTGACAAAGCAGTCTGTAACAAACCCCACAATACAGTGTGGAATGTTTTTAGTAAAAAAAAAAAATCACTTATTTCCTTTAATTTTCCTAAAATTTCTTCTCTTTTAAAGTTCAATTACATCATATATTTCTGATTAAGGATTCCAGTTAGTTGTATTCTGGCACCTGAAGAATTTACTGCCTTATAGTCTCACTGGGACAATGGGCTTCTTTCTTTAAAAAGTTAATTTAAGGGGCGCCTGGGTGGTGCAGTCGGTTAAGCGGCCGACTTCAG